CTATTGATGAATGGTTTGAATCTTCTTGGGGAGTAAGAGGCGAAGAGAAAAAAAGTGGTCGTCTACTATCAACGTGGTCAATATTGTAGCAGACGAGTAAACGTGGTCGAGATGAAGACAGAGACATGAAAGAGTCGATGAATGATTGGCTAACAATGATGGAACACCATTGCTTCGAGACACATCTGAATTTGAAAAGAGATTTTGATGGCAATTTTGTGAGTACCTCGATCACCATATCTAGAGGTATTGATTCTCTGTTGTCACCTCCCTCCTGAGTTTTCATGGTGGCTTACAAGACAAACCCTAGAAAACTCTTCAAACTTAATTAGGTATTTATAAGGGTATGCCAATTGTTCTTACTTACTTTTTCCTATCAAAACCACGGAAGTTTATAAGTTTTGTATAAGATATAGTGTAGATACTACTAATTATAAAAATATGGAAACATTAACAAAAAATGAATTTTCTAAATAATAATAATAATAATAATAATAATAATAATAATTTTCATGATATGTTTATTATATAATTTGAGAAAGAAATGTTTTCACGCCGAGCATGGACCGTCCAGACCGGTCGGTTAAATGTTTGGGTTTGATGCTAATAGGGAAAAGGGTCTTTTTCCGACTGAACTAAACGCGCGGTGCGCTTTCCAAACCAAATAAATAGTAGGTGCCGTTTCCTATCCAAACACTTAGATATTTCAAATTTCTAAACCCAACTCTACAAATTAAGCTTAAAACGAAGTTGACCATCTTTGGTGTTAGTCAAATGTTTTCTCAATGTTAAACACCGTTGAGTCAGCATAAAAAGTGAAAAAAAAACAAAATCGAGGTGGCACTGTTATGTAGTAAAACGACGTCGTTTTACAATTTGGGATCAAAAAACAAAACCCGACATAAAAATTTTCTTTGTTTTTCCATGAAAACGAGAGTGTGGGAGTAGTTCAGAATTCTTAATTAGAGCAGGAAGAGGTCTAATATATATAGCTGGGTCAAATAATTGGAGTTGATCGCTGATTATTTTGTGGAAAACAACGTACAATTTCAGAGATCTTATAAGCAAAAAATGAGGTAATTTTATTTTTGGGTAATGGCAAAAAATTATTGATTGAACTCGTGAAACAGCAATTTTTGTTTTTGTTTTAATGATTGAACCTTAGTTATTAAGATATTTGCACTGATGCATGTTTCAAAAATTTCATATTTTCAAATTTTGATATTAAATCCGTGAAACACCAATTTTTAATGATTATCAATTGTTCGATTAAATGCTTCAGAGAGTGAAATTTTGTATTAATTTTAGTTTTGTGATGTCTACAGCTACTTTGAAGTAATGTTTAACGTGTACCATGGTGGCTATTGGGTGAAACATTCTCAAAAGGAAGTTGGTTATCTTGATGGTGATGAGCCAAAATGTATAACTTGACAACCTGAGGATATTTTGACCAAGTTATCAACTGAGTTTAGCGAGGGGATATATGGGCAGAAGATATGGTACACGTTGCCATTTGAAGATAGCAAAGAGCGGAAGACATTGAGTAATGGAGATTTGAGTTTAAAGAAGATGTGTGAAGCTGGTAAATGGACATGAGTAATTAATTTGTTTATGGTTAACTCGAGCGATCATCCTCATGATGTGGAGGAGCAAGAGCGCTGTGAAGAAGAGATCCGAGTTGAAAGATATGCGGCTGATTTTGTTGATGAGGATCCGGATTTTGACTATCACAATACACCTCCAAACTCTGATGGAGAAGAAGAGGATGATTTTGTGAGATGCAAACGTGGTAGTGGTGAGCTGAAGCTTAAACAAGTGTTTGAATCTTTAGAGGAGTTCAAAGAGGCCTTGGTAGATTATGCATTGAAAGGAAGATGGAACATTAAGTTATCTCAATGGGCAAAAACAAAATCTGCAGCTGTGTGTGGGATTGAGGATGGGTGTCCTTGGAGGATTTATTGTTCTTATGAAGAACGAATTGGAAAGTTCATGGTGAAGACATATGAAGAGCATCACAGCTGCATCAAGGATGGTTATAGTAAAATTCTGAAAGCAAGTGTGATTGCAAAGCTGTTTATGGATGAGATAAGGAATGATCCTGACTATAAACCAAAGACTATCCAAGAGGACATATTAAGAAGGTTCGGTTTGATGACAACTATAGATAAGTGTAAGAAGGCAAAGGGAAAAGCAATAGAGATCATCCATTGTGACCATGTGGAGCAATTTTCGAGGCTTAAAGATTACCGCGATGCAATCATTACGTAAGTAGTTTAATTTTCTCTGTTTTTTTTAATATGAATTTTAGTAAGTAGCGTTATGAATTTCAGCAAGTAGCTAACTCTTTTTTACATTTGTTTGTTGCTAGGACAAACACTAACTCATCTGTTCAGTTGGATATTGCCTATGATGATGCTGGAAATGAAATATTCCATAGATTTTATGTATGCTTTGATGTGCTTCGAAGATTATGGTCAATGTGGTGTAGACCCATTTTTGGTTTGGATGGTTGCTTCCTTAAGTGCACACTTAAAGGACAATTGTTGGCGGCTGTGGGAAGAGATGCATACAACAGAATGTACCCCTTTGCTTGGGCGGTTGTTGATGTTGAAAATGAGGAGAACTGGACTTGGTTCATACACAAGCTTAAGGTTGATTTTAATCTGCAAGATGGTCAAGGATATACTGTGATATCTGACAGACAAAAGGTAGCAAATTCACAACTTTGTTCGCTTCTAGTAGATTGTCTTTATAGTTTGCATTTGGAGGGTTTGTTAAATGCAGGCTTGTTCTTTTTTTTTTTTGAATTTGCAGGGTTTGTTAAATGCAGTACAAAGGGTGTTGCCACATGTTGAACATCGAATGTGTGTTAGGCACATCTATGGAAATTTGAAGAAGGTCTTCCCAAATCAACCTGAAATGAAGCGCTTATTTTGGAGAGTAGCAGAGAGTTACACTTTGGCAGAGTACATGAGTAATCTAGAAAGATTCAAAAGCTTTGATGTTCGCTTATTTGATGCCATGATGGAGAGAAATCCGAAGAATTGCAGTTTGGCTTTCTTTTCTACAGCATCCCAATGTGTTGATGTTCACAACAACATATCAGAATCTTTCAATAATGCTATTGATCCTGCAAGATATATGCCAATGGTGGAGATGCTGGAGACAATTAGAAGAAGATCTATGGCACGGATTCACTTGAGGAAGACCACGGCAGAAAAACATACCGGTAGATTCACCCCCAAAGCAAAAGAGATCATAGAGAAGGAAGAAGAAAAGGTTAAGTTCTGTAAGATGGTTCCAGGTGGAGATAATAGATATGATGTTCGTGAGGGTGGTGTCACATACAGTGTGAATATGAGATTGAGGACATGTGTTTGTCGGAGATGGGATATGAGTGGACTTCCATGCCGTCATGCTTTACGGGTCATTGAAGAGAGAAATCTCAATAATGAAGATTTCATATCTCATTGGTACCTCAACTCAAGACAGCAAAGTATATACAATGACTCTGTCCGACCAGTTAATGGTATGTTGTTCTGGAATAGATCTGGTTCTATTATTCTGCCACCTCCTAGTTTAGTTGAACAGATAGAAAATAGAAAAGGGAGGAAACCAAAGCCGAAGAGGAAGAAGGGAAGGAATGAGTCTCCTACAAAGAAAAAGGTTAGTAGAGAGAAGAGGATTATGCATTGTGCTCGTTGTGGTTTTGCGGGACACAACGTATTGAAGTGTCCAAATTCAGGTGTGGCGAATTTCAGGGCACCAAAAAAGAAGAAGACTCCAACCAACACAAACGCCAATGAAGATGGATATGAGTCTACCATGTCTTTGGACTTTGGAGAAAGATTAAGTCAGCCAGCACAAAACTAACTTTGAGTATCTGTTTTTTTTTTTTGTGGTTTTGGACGTGTTATATAATTATTTTCACGATGATATGAAGTGAAAGTTTCAATGGTCATTAACTTTGTTTGATGACAATACACGTATTGTTCATGACAAACACCACATCAGATCATTCATTACATAATCCTACAAACATATAGAGAATCCTATAACTGAAACATAACTACTCTCATATTTAGATAATCTCATACGCAAAACATAATGCTTATTGCACAAATGAATCTTTGTTATTTTTCTGGTTTTTATCTCACACAGAGAAAAAAAGAGACCAACGAAGAAGACACGGGAAAAAAAGAAAGAAATTTAGGAATTTTTATCACAAATTGTAAAACGACTTCGTGTTACTAAGTAATAATGCTACCTCAATTTTTTTTATGCTGACTCAGCGGTATTTAACGTCGAGAAAACGGTTGACTAACACCAAAGATGGTCAATCTCGTTTTAAACCTAATCTTGGAGAATTAGGGTTGAAATTTTGAAATGTTTAAATGTTTGGATAAGAAACGGCACCTATTATTTATTTGGTTTGGAAGAAAGCACACCGCACGTTTAGTTCAGTCGGGAAAAGACCCTTTTCCAGATGCTAATATAACCAGGTGACGGTTCAAAAAACATTTCAAAATATTTAACGTGTGATTTTAGAATCATTTGGATACAAAGAAAAGTTAAGATTTTCAATCAAACTGATATAATAATTAAATTTAACACCACACGCAAATGCAAAGGAGAAGCAAAGAGGCAGACAGAAGAACATACGATTCTGATTTTTTAAAAGCTGAGCGTTTTGAGTTTTTTTTTTTTTTTTTTTTTAATTCAAGACGTCAAAAGACAACTTGGAACCCTTCTCGTCTCGATTCATTTCAGTATCATGTTAAAATGTTGATATATCTCTTAAGCGTCCCAATCACAAATCCGTGTAGAGTCTTCCTCTCTCAAAAGGAAACAAAATGTATAAAGTGATCATGTCATTGATATTTTAACTCTTTAGATGAAGATCGAACTAAGCATATTACTAAACAAACCAATAAGTAAAAGAAGAGAAGATACATTTGTTGAAGGATGATTGACCAGTAAAAGTGTGTATGATGATCATTTCAACCACTTCCCGACTTCAATGTATTACTCAACCTGAAGATCAAAAGATGGACAAATAAAGATAACATTTTGAGAACCAAAACGCGCAAAAAAAATTGTTTGGTTTCAGTCATACAAAATGTGCTTACCAGTCCAAGCCCTCGAAAAGCCCTTCGCCTTTAACAGCACAAGTTTTGAAGATTGCCCACTGACGACTCTTTATCTTATGCAACTCCAAGGCCTCTGTCACAGCGGCATCGTCGAGAGCACCAGGAAGATCCTGTTCAATTGATTTTAAGGAAACTCAGAACAAATTTTATAAGCAGAAATGGTTATAACGCATGCAAAACAATACAATTACCGGATGAATCAGACAAATTTTATATTACAAGTCAATAAGAGCTAGCATTTAGATAATACTAACCTGCTTGTTTGCAAATATGAGAACCACCGCTCCTTTTAATTCCTCTTCCTATAAAACAAATTTCAAAAGAAAGTCATAGTTAAAAGCCGACAGTGGCAAGAGATACAATCACGTAAGCTTTGTTGAATGATGGAAGATTTTACAAAAATTAGATCGTCAAATCTATGGATAGACTGTTTCTTCTCTATCCTGAACTAACCTAACCTAGATGCTTCAATTTTTAGTGTCACCTATTAGACGCTGTTTGACAATTTAAGAATGCTTGATCGAAAAACTTACAAGCCTCTATAACAGTTCCTAAACAAGAAACTGAACTAATATTGTAATTCCATTTAGAAATGGCATGAAGAAGAAGGAAGCCTCAGTAGTAGTTTACCTCCAAAATTGCATGAAACTCCTCTTTTGCCACCCCGATTCGATCTGTATCGCTCGAGTCAACAACGTAGATCACTGCTTGTGTATTCGGGAAATAGCATCGCCAGTATGGCCTGTAATAAACACACTCAATTTTATGGGCAAAACACACAAACAATGTAGTCTTGATGCCTTTTACAGTACATGCAATATTCATGGTTTCTAGAAATGAGAGAAGAGGGCATTAAGCTACCTGATGCTCGTTTGTCCACCTGCCACAGGAAAATTCTAGTTAATGTATAATTGTTCCATTGATGCTTACTAAAATGTGAAAACGCAAACAGCAACTATATGTAACAACCAACAACATGAACATCAAGAAAACTGTGGTACTTAGAGAAACACAGAATCCTTAATTAATCAACCCGTATTCAAATATATCAAGTTTCGACTCGCCAATATAACCACTGCAACTATTCATCGTTATAAAAGATACAATCTAAGGGTTCTAAACCATGGAAAATTGCTGATCATGGGTTCATGTATTTCATTCATAGAAAAGCATTCGAATAATTCAAATATATCAAGTTTTCGACTCTCCCATATAACCACTGCAACTTTTTATCGTTATGAAGGATACAATCTTAAGGGTCTAAACCATGGAAAATTGCTGATCATGGGTTTATGTAATCCATCTATAGAAAGGCATTCAAATAATTCAAATGTATGCTATAACATGGAAGGAAGACTAAGGAACCAGAAATTTCAAACTGGATCCATCAAGAGAAGGTTTGATCTCGATTGATCTAATGATTGCCTATGCAGTTTGAATTTCAAATTTCTTTCCCGTAAATACCAAAATCCATCCTGAGTATCTCAAATTCGAAGCTTAATACATAAAAGCATCTTACGGATTCGAACACATTCTTAGAAACGTACCTAAATCCCAGACCTGAAATTTGATATTGTTGTACTGCACAGTCTCGACGTTAAACCCAATAGCTGCAGATCGGAGCAAAAGCAAAATTGCAAATAAACAGAAATCAAAATCCGAAATCACATCAGCTAGATCCGACTAAAGATATAAACGATAAACATCAATAATATATACATACTCGGAATCGTGGAGACCACTTCCCCCATCTGAAGGCGATCTGGAAAAATAACAGAGGAATCAGAATCAACGCGAACTCGAAACAAAGCAGAGAAATAACAAAAAAATACGTCGAATCGAAAACCCTAGTCGCTGAATAGCCAATCTATCAATCTATAGAGAGATGAAATGCGAAAGATGGGAGGAAGTGATTTACAGAGGATTGTAGTTTTTCCAGCATTGTCGAGACCGAGGACGAGGATACGAGCTTCTTTGTTGCCAAACACGGAGGAGAACATCCGCGTGAACAGGATTCCCATCTTCTTCTTCTTTCTTCTCGTCGGTTCAGATCAGATCAAACGATCTAAGAGAGATTCTTCTTCTCCCGGACCATTCGACCTCAGATCTTTCTCTTCTGTGAGAGTAGTGGAAGATTGAGATCAATCCCGAGAAAGGACGAGAAATAAAAGTTTCAGTAAAAAAAAAAAAATTCCTCTGTCGTTGTCTCTGATTCATTCCGAGTCTTTTGTTTGGGCTAAAATATTATCGACTTCAGCCCATTATATTTCTAATTGGACCTTTACTTCTATGTTTAGTCCATATGGTGACGGTTTTCTCAAATCAATTTTAATTTTGCAGACAGTTATTATTTGTGTCTGTTAGCTCAAAATCAAGTGATCGCTTTAAGCCCTTTACTCTAAAAACTTTGTGCGACAACCAAACTGGCCAGAGCCCAAACCATTTCAGTCCAATTAGCTCGACCAAGTGTCGATCAGTTAACAGATTTTGTTAGCTAAATGGAGCTTTAGTAATTGATCGTTCTTCATCGACTACATCACTTGATCCTGTAGGCTGTATCCTGTATGGTTACGTTATGCAGCAAAATCACTATTTAGACAATCTAAATATCAAAACGCTAAATAGACTATATCTTATTAGACCATTTCCAATGTGTTTTTCTATTTGTTACTCTAAAATAGAGGATTAAAATAGTGGTGTACTTCTCTCCAATGTGTTTTTTTTTCTCTAAAAAGGAATATTTTAAGAATATTTTCTTTATAATTTATTATTAACACCTTATTTTCATAAATTTTATAAATTAACTTCACTTATGTTATTGTTTACAAAAAATTCATTAATAATAAAATATATTAAAATTAAACATTTATTTCATAATAATATCACATTACAATATATAATCAAATACAATATAATATTTATAGTTTAATTAAATTTATATGTTAGATGTATAGCTACTTATTAGATATATCACATTACAACAGATAATAAAAATAAAATATAACATTTTATAGTTTAATTAGATTTATATGTTAGATGTATAGCTATTTATTGGATATATATAAACTAGGTTATGCAAAGATTTAATTTAATTATTATATTTATTATATAAATAAAAATAAAAAGATCTAAAAGTTAAATGACCAGTTTATAAATAAAAAAGTATATATCTATTTTAGAGGAGAAAATAGAGTTCCTCCAAATATAGAGGAGAAAATAGCATTCTCTATTATAGAGAAAAAAATAGAGGTGGATTGAAAATAATATTCTTCCAAACTCTATTTTTTCCTCTAAAATAGAGGTAGATTGGAGATGCTCTTATATAAAGTTGGATGCATCAAAGTTAGTAATTCACATGATTGTGACATGTGGCACGTCAATCGATCAGATTTTGATATGTGTTGTAGTTAAATTAAAAATAAAAGGATATATTTCAGTTTAAAAAAAGAAAAATAACTTAAACACTAATCCTAAAAGAAAAAAAAAATACAATTTGGAAAAAAAAAAGTTAATAAAATAAAATGTTTTAATATAGAAAAGATAGATGCTAAAACACTAATCTTAAAAAAACAAAAATACAATCCACATCTATATAAACACATAAAATCTCTCAAATTATAATTTCTGAGCTTCATTCTATAGATTTAATTATTTTTATTTTATTGTATTATTATTATTATTAAAACACTTTATACGGTATTCTAATTTTTTATCAATTATGATTCGTTCGGTATTCCAAATTTTTATCCCTCAAGATTCCTTTACTGAATATGGTATACATCTAAAGTGTTTCCAGTATTTAATAATTAGACAATTTCTAAATATTTACATGCAAAATTTGCAAAGCATGATTACATAAAAATAAAATTATACATGCTAATGATGAGTTCAATGAGAAAGAGGATCAACGAAAATCATGTAAAAAAGTATTTGACACGAGTCTTGAGAAGCATAACTTCTCTAGAAAGCAAAAAAATCATGTACGAGAGATGCATGTGGAGAGAAAGAGAAACTTTGTTTGCTTGAAAAGAGTTAATGGGAAGAGAGTTAACATAATCGAAGAACTCAAATTGCAAACACAAATTTTTAATGCAGCAAAACAGAATAAAATAGTTGATAAAATGTTGAATTACAAGTGAAGTATGGTTAATATTTCTAAGAACCTGCAACAGACTCTGTGTTATAAATATTTTAATTAAAAATAGATGAAAATTAAAATAAATAATTCTTAAACTTTGGTTTTATATTTTTAATATATTCTTTATCAATGATTTGATTTTATTTTTTTATTTTAAAATTATTTTAATGAATTTTAAACTTTGTTATTATAAATTCGCATATATGCGGATATATTATAAGAGATTTGCAAATTGCAACTTAGAAGCACGCATAAGAAAATGAATTTATATTACTGAAGTTATTTGGTAGATTATATTGAAATGAATTTATACAACTGACGTTATTTGTTACATTTTATTGAAATGAATTTTATACTACTGAAGGGCGTTGCCTTTTTTTCTGTTTAATCAATGAACATTTGGAAACTGTAAAGGTAAGAAATGCAAATGGTGATTTCACTAAAATTATGTAGTTTAAAAAGAAAAACAAGAAGTTAACATATAAAGTATAAAACAAATACAAATTCACCCCCCCCCCCCCCCCACCCCCCCCCCCCCCCCCCCCCCCCCCACCCCGCCGCCCCCCCCAAGAAAAAAAGAAGAAGAATGGGGGTAATATATTTTAGTAGTATAGGATTAATATGAATGAATCGAATAATCAAAATATCATAATATCATAATTTATCCTTTATTGTATGTTTGTCTATTTTGTTTTTCCCATTAACTTTGTTGTAAGGGAGGAGAATTCAACTTTACACTGATGAAATAGTGTCTATCTTGAATCTTGATAGACTTATCTTGTGGCACAGGAGTATGAACATTGATCTACTCTTAGGTTTGTTTATGCGGCACAGAGACAAAGTTAAACGAAGATTATTAACTTCAGGAAAATAAAGGAAAAGAAGAGAAATAAATGCAAAGTGAGAAAAGAAAGAAGGATTTTTGCTTTGGAACTTTCTTGCGGGAGACGCGGCTACTCGGCACCTTGAAAGACAGCTCAGCAGATGTCAAGTAAGTCAAACTCGAATCATTGTTTCTGTTCTGTAATTAACTCTCTTTATGACACGTGTCAAATTTTCCCTTATGCAGCTCTTAGATACAGAGAACAACAGCTAATTAACAAATCATTTTCCTGCTACTAATGGACAATATGAAATTTAATACTATTTTTTTTTTACTTTTGTATAATCAGTGGATTTGTAGCCTGCCGATTGTGCAAATCAGCCTGAACTCTGAAGGGGTTTATTACTTTTTAATAAAAATTAATCGAAGATTAGACATAAAGCCATTATACCAAAATTAAAATAAATTAATAAATAATAAAATGTTGTAAAAAGATTGATCCAAGATAATGCAAAAACCTAAATTTTAGACGTTTGTGTGGAGTGCACTTCACTTCAAGATCCCTTTGCATATATGTATATAGAGTGATAAAAGAAGAAAATTTGGTCTTGTTTATCGGATACCATCAAATTAAAAGCAAAGTATGCAAATGGGGCAAGTAATCGAATTATTTTTTATCTATACCATACAATCTGTTTCAAATTCTTAATTTAAAAAGAATTCGATGAAAAAGTTATTTTATTCGGTCGAAATAGTTTAAGAATATCGCTTGTATTTAGAAGGTAAATGTCGAGTTTATCTTTGAAAATAAAATGGCGAGAATAATTACGTAATCAAAGCGTGAATGTATTAAATTTTTATGTCTTGGATGAAAATTTTCCATTGCAAGCTTTGAATTGATGATCACTTGTTTAATTTGTGATATAGAATTTTGAGAATTATGAAATCTAGAAAATGTAGTTTTCCCCAATATGGGAAACGGAAATTACAATCAAACATTCATAAATTATAACCCAAAATTTCCTCTCAGTAAAATTTACATTCCCGGGAAAACACGAAGGAAAATCTCCCCAGAAAATCCCCCAAAAAGAAAAACCTAAAAGCAAATAAGTAACAAAGAAAAAGAAGAAAACAAACAAAAACTGAGAGAATCAAAAGAGAACAAAAAGAAACTTCAGTGACTCGTTGTTTCTTCATTTTCTTTAGCTTCTTTCTCTTTCTCGCCATCATCCTCTTTCGGAATTACTATTTTAACCTCGTGACCACAAACACACTTGTTCGCCGCCGGCGTCGCAAGAAACCTCGGCAAATCGTCTCCGGCCATTATGACAAGAACCTTCTCCTCGTACGCCGCGTTCGCCGCCTTATCTCCAGACCTACTCTCTTTCTCTTCGTCGACTCTTCCGCCGGAATCGTCACCGGTGGTGGATATGCGCCAGTAAGAGCAGGCGAGGATGAGTAAAGCGAAGGCTATGAGGCCTAACATCGCCGCAAGGCCTCCGAATAGGTACGGCACCGGCGAATGCCACGGCGATTGGGGCGGTCGGTGATTTCCGAATGATTCTGCTAACGTGGCATGTCTAGCTACATCTATCGATGTTGGTTTAATGCTCAACGGTCTCATTTTTTTTTTTTTTGGTGCTCTGTTTCTCTCAGGTTTTCTTTTATGTTTATTTTGTCACTTTATACGAAGAAAAGGAAGAAAGCTGTGGATGAAACAATGGTTTGATGAGATGTTATATTTATATAGGTAGGAAGTACCTGGGGAAAAAAAAAGAAAGGGAGTCATCCTCCGAAATTTAATTAATTAAATTTAGTAAATTAAAGCCATTTATTTTGTAAAAAAATTTCAGTTTGTCCCAACTGGGTTTATTACTTTTAAGTTTCGTGCCACCTATATTTATTTGCATGCAATGTTATACATTTATTTAAAGGGCAGTGTTAAACTTTGATAAAAATGTTAAAAATTAGGTAGTAATTGCAAAATAAGAATTCTAAGTAAACTGATTTAAGTTATTTGTAATAATAATAATTTTATTGATTTCATGTGTGTTTTACTATAATCTTTGAATTTTTGATCAATTTAAAATATTATAAAATTATAATATATCAAATTTCTGATTTTATTTAAAATATTAAAATATTTTCGATACATTTAAAATATCTAAAAATTATTAATTTAAATATATATAACAATTAAAACATAAAAAAATAAATTATTATATTTTTTTATTTGTAATCAAATTAAAATATATATAAAAATATATTTTTCAATCTAATTATACAGTTTAATGAAAGAACTAAATAAAATAAAATGAAATATTTTAAAATTTAATGCATATTGTTGAAATCGGTTTTGCTACAGTTAATAACTAGTATACATATCGTCAGAGAACTTTTTATTAACAATACTAGGTATTTACTTGCGCTATGATGCGGGATATTTTTCTATTTTGTATATATATTTTTAATATTATAAAATAATTTTTATAATGTAAATGAGTATTATATTTTTTTTATTAGCTTAAGTTATGTATTTATATATTTTAAATCTGAATAAATATTACATATTTTTTTTTCAAAATTATAATTTGTTATTAAATTTAGTTAGTTAACTAATTATAAATGTATATGTAGGAATAAAATATATAAGAATAAAGCAATATATTTTTAGTACATTCATGCTAATGGCAAATATAATCTATTTTCTCCAATAAATTGCCACATGATCCTCCTTTGTACTTATATAAAGCAAAATGCCATTTAAAAAAATTATTAATTAATATGATTATTTTGAATTATAAATTTATTTATTTATCAAATATTTTATTATAAACATATGTTTCTAAAAACTACCAAACTATAATCAATAATATTCATATCAAAACCATTGCTATTGCTTTAGAACTAAATAAAAAATTATGTTTAAACTCTTAAAATATCGTTTTAGTTAAAGTTAAATAATTAAATTTTGGTTACTGTAAACATACTTTAACTTGGAAATTTAGCACTGAGAAATTTCTTTTTCTTACAAAAATTGAGAAATCGCTTACCCGTAAAAAAAAAAAACTTTATTTTCCCATTAAACTGAGAAATCGGCTATTCCCACCAAAACCAAAAAAAATCATTTTCTCGTCAAACCTAAAACCTAAACTTTCATTTTCTCGCGAAAACCTGTGTTTTTTCACCAAGCCGAGAAATTACGTTTTTTCACAAAAACCAAAAAGTTTCATCTTCCTACAAAAACCAAAAAAAAAATTGTATTTTCCTACCAAAATCGAAAAAAATATTTTTCCTGCGAAAACTGAGAAATCGTCTATCCCTGCAAAAAAAAAACTCATTTTCTCGTCAAGCGCAGAATCACGCTTTCCTACAAAAACAAATAAACTACAATTTTCCATGAAAACCAAAAATTATATTATCTCCCATGAAATTGTGTTTTCCCGCGAAAACTAAGAAATTGTTATATTTTTATCGGTTCAATTTTTTGCTGATGTGTGAGCTTCTTATAACATAAGGCTTTTTGCGTTGTTGTCATGGAGACATAGTTGATGCCGAGCCTACACTTTTAAATCATATACGTCTATGTCAAACAAACAGATAGCTATAATTGTTTTTATTATTTATTTGTTGTTATTTATTATTTGGATTTGGTTTTGGTAAAAAAAAGGAAACAATGATTTAATTTTTTTATTTGTTTTCATTTATTATTTGGGTTTGGATTTGATAAAATAAAAATAATAATTTTTATTATTTGCTGTTATTAATTATTTGGGCTTGGGTTTGGTAAAAAAAAAAACAAAAATTAATAGAAAAATTATTTGGGTTTTTAATGGGTTTAAGTTTAAAAATTAAAATAAGTCGATGACAAGTATTAATAAAATATTTTGATTGGTGATTATTTTTGCTGAGGTGTCATGTTTATAAAGCTTAAAAAATCTGAGGTGTCAAGCTATGGAGATACTTTAGTGTTGTTGTTGTGTTGATGTCTACGCATTTGCTCCCAATAGACTACAAAAGAGGCGTGGTAAATACTCAAATGCCTGATGAAAGTCCCCGCCGAATGGATTTTCATCCAATCTTTAGGCATTTAGAGAAGTTTGTTAAGCCAATAAAGAGAAGGCTTGGTGTTGAACCAGAAAATCACCACTAGGACTTGATTAACAGTTGTGGATTTCGGAGAATAAAGTCTTTTATTATTAGTAATAAGACGAAGCGATTACAAAGAATGGGATAACCAAGAGGTTATGCCGAAGTGAAAAGAAGGTTTGCAAAGTAAACTAGAAAGCGTTGGAGTCTCTGGTTTTAGCTCTGCTGCTCTCTAGATTGTATGAGTTGTCTTGGCTTCCAGGTCCTCTTTATTTATAGGGATGGGAGGTCGTTGCTCCGAACTCCTTTTCTTTTTTGTCTTTGTATATATTTCCATATCATAGATATGGAAATATCCTTTATTCTCCGATAGGTAAGGAAATTCTCCTTTATCCTTTGAACTAATCTGGTGTTTCCGGTCTTCCAAGATTATCCTTGAGGGATTTACTTAAATCCGAGCTAGGTCGGTACAGTCTTCTTGGTCTTGATGGGCTTAGGTTATTGCGAGAAAGGCCTTTTAGGAAATGTGCTCATTTCCCCTCTAACAGTAAGTCCCCCCCCCCCCCCCCCCCCCCCCCCCCCCCCCCCCCCCCAGTTCGGCGTTCGGCACTGATTGTAAATCAGGTCGGCGGGCTTCATGAAGTTAGAGACGGGTTTATCTTCGCAATAACTATCAGTTCGTCGAGAGCGTCGTTTCATGATAGCCAGCTCGGCCCGATTTTAAGTGGATTTATCGCGTGGTGCTTCCTCAGAAATATTTTAATATTCCGACCCATTAGGGTTTCTGCTTTTAAGCGCGAAATGCAAAGGGTTTGCCAGACGGCGAGATCGTAAAAATCTTGACACGCGTCTTCTTAGAAAAATATTGATATTTCTTTCTGATTTTATTTACTTTACCTTTTACCTCTTCATCTTCTTGCTTTTTAGAAAATCTTCGTCTCCTTTGCCGATTTCTGCAACAATCTTCTATAGTGATTTTTTTTTTTTGCTCATCTTTCCCTTTGCTTTTTTACTTCGTTAAAAAATGTCTGCTTCTTCCTCGCATTCTTCTTTTGATGACAACGAGATTTGTCTCGCCGACCACACCAAGCAAGCCTGGATTAGTCCAGTAGCTTCTACTTCTTCTATTTCCGAGGGCTCTTCGGATTACCGTGACGAGATTCCATCGGATCATCCCGATGCGGACTTCAAAATAGATTTGGATGGTCCCGGGCCAACAGGTTCTGAATCGGAGAGCACGATTGAGGGTCTTCCTAAGAAGATTGCAATGTCGCCGCATAGGACCGACATTAAAGACGGAAGGACTTGGATGACCGCGGAAAGGCTTCAAGAACTTGTTCGAAGTGTGGTTTTCCTGATGAGGTCGAACTGTTACTTCCTCAGGTTAACGAGAGAGTGACCACACCCCCAAAGGGTTATTTATGCTCGTATGAGTGTCATTTCGGAGAGTTCAGCCTTCAGTTCCTGATCTCGCTGCTTCTCCGTTATTGTGAACGGAGGAAGATGCCGGTGGTGCAGCTTACTTATGCTGTAATCCGCCATTTTAACAGCTTGGCGGCAGTGGCTCGTGCGGCTATAGTTCCCTTTAACTGGACATTTTTGAGAGGGTATCCATCCTGAAGAGAGGAAGGGTGAACCGTGGCGGGTGGTGCCATTTTTACACCATGATGAAGGAAGGGATCATAGGTGGTGATCCGACGAGCAAGGTCCACGAATGGGATCGGTTTTTCTTTTTCGTGAAGATTAACGAAGCATCCATTGGTGGTTCCGATTTTACCCTCTTCAGAACTTGGAGATCGGCACCATGTAAGGAGAATAAAAATTCTGACTGATTTTTTATTTTTGATTTTGTTTAACAACTCGCTGGGTACTAATGCGTATTTGCCATTATAGTGGAAATACGTCTGGGAGATGACTCAATCGGGTTTAGCGAAGACGTCAAGAGGCTGCGCGACCTGAGCCGGCAATTATGGGCCGATAAAGAGAAGAAAGGGGCCGCTAGAAAGAAGGCGGTTAAGTCTGCTGAGAAGAAGGCCAAACCTTCAAAAGCTGGTAGGTTGCTTAAGCGAAGTGGTTTTAATCAGTCGTTTGATGATGAGGTCTTATGGACGTATTTGTTGTTGTTTTGTAGCTTTTCGGAGGGCTTCGCAGCCGAAACCCGTAAGGGCTGGCCAAAAGAAGAGGAAGGCGACTTCGCCAGCTCCCGCAGATGATCCTGCGAGTTCTTCTGTAAAGAAGAAGAGGATGACTTCCCAAGATCCACCTAGCTTGGTGGATTCTGATGACGCCGAAGTGGCTGCTGAAAAAATTATTTTCTTAGCTTCGCGTGTTATTATATCGTGCCGAAGAGATTTCTGACGCTACATTGCTTATGTTTGCCCCCCCCCCCCCCCCCCCCCCCCCCCCCCCCCTTTTTTATTTTTAAAGTTTCTCTAGGACGGCGGTGCTGGAGAGATTGAGGCAGATGCGGGCTGAGAAAGCCGCAAAGAATCCGCAGGGTGAGGCATCCCATACTCCCACCTCTCAAGTTGCGGA